TCTTTAGCGGCTATCTCATCTAGTATAGTCTCTGAGAGACCCTTTTTGAATGCTGAGATTAACCCATTGTTAGTCCAGTCTACCTCGGAAGCTAAGGTACGGAATTCAATAGCATAATCCGAGATAGACCGGTTACCTTGTCTGATGTGCATTAGGGCAGTGGAGGCGTCATCCTCTCTACTCAATGGCTCAAACGTGAGCTTGAATTCGGCAAGGAATTCCTGGTAATTATGAGCTATGCTCCGATTACTCTCCCACAACGGATTAGCCCAGGCAAGGGCCTTGCCCTTTAATTGATTCATTAGATAACCAATTCTTGCTCTGTCTGTGGGGAATGACCCTGGTGAGGCCTCAAAATGGTACTCCACCTGATTAAGAAAACCCCTGCATTCCTGGATATTGCCATCAAACTGTAGGGATGGTGATAAGGAGATGCAAGGAGTCCTATTAACAGTGGGTGGAGGTACACAGGGTAGAGGTGCTATAGGAGGAGACGCTGCAGGCTGCAGATGCTCCGTTCTAGCGAGAAGCGTACTTAAAGCCTGAGTGAATTGATCCATGCGGTGATCATTCTCCTCTAATTTCCTCTCGCAAGCAGCTATGTGCTGACACAGTTCTACAGGATCTATGGCCATGTCGTAATGTCAGGATTACTGTTTGATCCAGCACGTAGAACTGTACAGCACAGATGACAAATAAGTAACGTATTACCGGTCCTTAGAATGGCCGGATTTAACGTACAAAGAATAGTCAAAAATACTAGCCGAGGTCAGGGAACACAGAAAGGGACACAGCGATGAGGAAAGCCAGGAGTCAGGATACCAGAATATAGAGAAGTCAATAAACAAAGCCAAAGTCAAAAACCAGGTAGAAAACTATAAACAGGAACGCGCTCTCAGACAACCACAAGGGAAACCACGACAGGGCACTGAGCAGGCTGAGAACTGGGCCTAAATACCCCTCCTTTAGTTCTGATAGGCTGTAACCGGCCTTTGACCCCAAAGTCAGTTACCAGGTTTCATTTGCATAATTGCTGCTCAGCATTAACCCTTCTGTGGATTAGGTTGCTGCTCGGCACAACTTTTCATGTGTGGACAGTAAATGTCATTAATCACTTTTCTCTAAGCGGATGAATACATGACACCAGGTTTCATTTGCACAATTACTGCTCAGCATTAACCCTTCTGTGGATTAGGTTGCTGCTCGGCACAACTTTTCCTGTGTGGACAGTAAATGTCATTAACCACATTTCTATAAGCGGATGAATATGTGACACCCTTCACCTTGCTTCCTTGAGTCTCTGGCAAAGATATGTCTAATGAGACAGAGAGGGGTATTTTTTATATAAACCCCTATATACTTATTAACCCATAATAGGGAACACATGGGATGGACAGCAGCATTGTAAGAAAGCTGTGTGATACAAAAAGTGAATACAAATACAAAAAGATAAGTCCTGCGCTCACTCCCGGGCGGCAGCAACAACCACAGTACACATCAGCTCCAATACATATAGTAAAAACCAAAAAGAAGTTACCTGCGCTCTCTCCTTAATTCCTATGTATATTTAAACTATGTAAATTTAAACAAGTGCTAAATCAGTGACTAGTTGCTTCTGCAGATAAATGTGTTCCTCAAGAGGCTGGTGAGTGAGGTTTTATAGATTAAATGTTATTTTGCAAATAACAAGAAAGTAAAAACATATACACTTTAAGTGATGTAGTTATTGCATAATGAAAGTGATGCAAAGAAAAGAAAACACTTTTTGGTTTCCCATTGCTTTTATGTAAATCAGACAGGATTATTCACTGCCACCATTGATCATGGCCACCTTCTCCTAACTCTTCAATCTCTTGGTCTCTGTGACACAGCCCTCTCATGGTTCTCCTCCTATCTCTCCCAATGCTCCTTTAGTGTCTCTAATTCCAACAGCACCTCCTCTCCTTGTCCTGTTTCAGTTGGAGTCCCTCAAGGTTCAGTTCTTGGTCCCGTTTGTATTCCACTACCACCTGTACGCTGACGACACCCATATATATATTTTTCCTCCCCTGACCTCTCCACTGCTGTCCTAAAACGTGTCACCAATTGTGTTTCTTCTATCTCTGATTGGATGTCCTCCCGCTTTCTGAAGCTCAATCTCTCTAAAACTGAGTTTCTTATTTTTCCTCCTCATAAGACTGATCCTCCTCCTTCACTCTCCCTGCAGGTTGACGGTACCTGCCTCACCCCATCCTTATAAGCTCGCTGTCTTGGTGTCACTTTAGGTCCTGGCCTCACCTTTGTGCCTTATGTCCAGTCTGTTGCTAAAACCTGTCGATTCCAACTTAAAAACATTGCCTGCATACGTCCCTCTTTTACGCAAGATGCTGCCAAGGCATGCTCTAGAAATCTCTAGCATCGATTACTGTAATTTTATCCTAATTGATCTCCCCAGAAAACATACTGCCCCCTTATGATGCTGCTGCCAGGCTGATCTTTCTCTCCTGTCGCTCCTTTCACACCTTACCCCTCTGTCGATCCTTACACTGGCTTTCAGTACCCTACAGGTGTTAAATTACCTATAAAGCTCTATCAACTCTAGCCCATTTTACATTTGTTCACTGATTCATAGATATGCCCCTTCTCGTTCTTTCCGCTCTACCGATGATTTTCTCCTGTCTGCTGCTCGCACCCTTACTGCAAATTCACACCTGCAAGACTTCTCACGGGCAGCTCCTTTACTTTGGAACAGCCTGCCTACCCCTGTCAGACTACCCCCTAGTTTTCAATCCTTTAGGAAGTCCCTCAAAACCCATTTTTTCAGGATTTCTTATGGCCTCCAAGAGTAACTTCTATCTCTCAAACCTTCCTCTTGCTCTCTCGTATAGGGCCACTCCACTCTCACCTCCAGTTCTGCTTTCCCACCATGTCTATTTGCTGTCTCTCTCAATACCCTTCCTATTGTGTTTTTATACCCCACCTCCTCTAGACTGTAAGATCGTTAGAGCAGGGTCCTCAACTACCTATTGTTCCTGTTACATTTTGTAAAATTACCCTTTTAATTTAAAGCACTGCAAAATAAGCTAGCGCTATATAAATACCAAAAATAATAATAATAATAATAACTGTAAATAGCTGGTATTTCAAAGTAAACTTGAAATTTAGGTCAAAACAGCCAAAATTTAAAAATTATCCAAGTCAACTGTTTTCATTTTGGTTATTTTGAGCTACATTTTGAAATTAGCTTTGAATTCCTAAGAAAATAAAAAATCACACTTTAGAGAATAATTTTGTAAAACCTCACCAGGTACTAAGAAGTAGAGACATTCTCAATTCATCCTTACCTTTCTTTTGCTTTCTATAACAATGCTTTACACATCCCATGACTGTATATAGCTTATGGATTTCAGTACTTGGCATTAATTTAAATTACATTTTGGGCATTGCAGGTTTTATTAGCTTGCCAAATAACTTGAAAGATTTTTTTCATGACGAATAGCAGATTGCTGTGCATCCTCTTTCATATAAAGTTGAGAGATAGTGGGAATTTGTGTAGCACAACAAGAAATGGGGGAAAAAGGAATTCAGTAGCAGAAAAAGCCTAACTCAAAACCCAGCACAAAGAAGTAAAGCATGAGTTGGGGGGTTTTAGGGTCAAATTCAGACTGGAAATGATCTTGTCACAAAAATTATTTAATTCTTTAATCAGTCAGGAAGTATTGGATGCCCATGAGGTAGAAATAGTTCTCATAGAATGTTCATTTAAGTTAAGAGGAGGAGGAACATTGGAAGATTTGTAGGCTAGAATGATAGCCTGCTTAACCCATCTTGCCAAGGAACCCTTAGAGGCCGTTAGACCAGTGGTTCCCAAACCAGTCCTTGTGGAACCCCTACCAGTCCAGGATTTAGGGATCACTCTGTTGTATCCAAGGTGTTTTTTTTTTCTTCCTTTTTTTCTAAAAACAAAAAGTTTTGAGGATTCTGACAGGATGTTGGTAGATTGATTTTTTGATTCATATTGGTTGTTGAAGAAACCTAAGGAAGAAATGAAGAGTGTAACTTGAGGATAATATAATCAATTTGAAAAACCAGATAGGGTGGAACTTGAAGTTCCCCTAGTGTTTTAGCAGATGTCATGGCTACCAAGAATAAAATTTTCTATGCAAAAACGTTAAGACTGACATTTATTTTGAGTTCAAAGTAATTTGATGACTTTCACGAATCCATTGTCCCTTTGTCACCTGTATTAGCAGATGGGCTTCCCAACCAAATAGTGAAGTATCTGTGGTGACTAAAATTAAATTCTTCATCCGGAATGAAAGACCTTCTGTAAGAAATCGAGATGACATCCACCAGTGGAAACCTCTTCGTGGTAAAGGCCAATCTTTTATTAATTGGTCTAGAGAGGAAGTTTCTCTGTCCTATGCTGCTAAAATGTTTTCTTCTGTAAATGCTTCATCTTTGCAGTGGACCAGCTCATTGTTAGAATTTCAGCTGTAAATAGGCCTCATTGCTTCCCTTATGGAACAGATCTTCTTAAGGAATGGATTGCATGGGAACCAATATCAATTTCTCCTGATTTAGAATCCATCTTACTTGAGCATTTCACGGCTGTTCTTATGTATTTTAGGAAATATTCTTCTGAGGAAACTATGAGAAGCCAGTCATCTGAAACCTTCCTTTCTTAGGGCAGCTGTGATGACTACTAGAATCTTGGTAAACACTTGCGAGGGCAAAAGGCAGAGCTCTGAGCTGATAATAAAGTTCTTCTTCCCTTCTGATGCAAAATCTTGGGAATTTTTTGCTTTCTTTTGTAATAGGGAAATGCAGATAAGCATCTCCGAGGTCAAGAGAACTTAACCAGTACCTGTAACTACGCTACCTGCATTTTACCTGCTTTGTAACTGCTTGATTCTGTCTACCAGCGGAGATACCGTGGATAATACTACTACTCCGCTAAAATTGGTGGCAAGCGACGGGATTTAAACCACACAGCAAAGCAGCGTTCGGCAGAAATTAAAATGAACAGAGGAGAAGAAACAGCAATTCGCGAGTTAAACCATTCAGATGAAACCGGGGTTCGGGAACATGTGGAAACACACAAACAGCCGGTGAATGGAGACGAATTATGCACTTTTAAAACGGAGCACATTAAAGGAACTACTAGAGGCCAGAGGAGCAATAGCCAGCAACAAGGCAAAGGCTATCATGGAAAGAGACAGAGCAACGGCTGCTGCAGCACCTCCAAGGGAGGAAGAGCCAACAGAATTTCAGAGGGAGTTCAGGAGCAGGTTGGTCCTGTACCCAACCACACCACCACAAGAGACTTACGATAGGATCATGGCAGATGTGCAAGAATACATCATGGCCAAACAGTGCCAACCAAACCAACAATCCAGAGAGGGGTCACCGGCTCCATACAGCATTATACAGGGAAAACCAAGAATTCCCTACCAAGCCTTTAAAAACTTTACGGATACAGAGGGCGATATTGATGGACTTTGAAAGACTGTGCCAGCTCCATGATATCGGGCCCCAAGATCAGGTACCACTGCTAGCCGGTAAATTATCTGGCCGCGCAGCAGAAGCCTACAGGGCCGTGCCAGATGAGGAAAGCAAAGATTACCAGAAGGTAAAGCAAGCCATCCTAGCCCGGTATGCCATCACCCCTGAGGCATACAGACTCCAATCCCGGGACCTGAAAAAACAGGAGAAGGACTCCCACGCGGAGTTTGATCACCGCTTACACCGAGCAGCCACCGGGTGGATTGAGGCAGCACAGGCAACCACTAAGAATGACATTATGTAACTACTGCTGTTGGAACAGTTCTACAGGAGATTATCTACAGAGATGCAGAACTGGGTAAGGGATCATAAACCGTGTACCTTGCAAGACGCAGCTAAACTAGCCGACGAGCACCAAGACACTAGGCGAGAGCAGCGCCCATCGCCTAAGGTCTTTCCCCAGCCAAGCACTTATCGGCCTGCCGTGGCCGACATCCCACGATCAGGGGGGGGCATACAATCAGTACCCACCCAGATACACCAACCAAGGGCAACCGCTTGGCCCTATGGCGGCAGTGCACTGCTACCAGACGCGAGCGTTCGTCCAGCCCTCCACCGCAACCGTTAGGCATGCTCCACGAAGTTAACACCATGCAAGCAGCATCCGACAACCGCCAAAGCCATCGACAAGTTGTCCACATAGAAGGGAAACAGATTGAAGGACTGAGGGATTCCGGGGCCACCATCACTTTGGTCCGAAATCACCTTGTTCCAAAGGACCAGCTGACGGGGGAGTGTATAGCAGTACGCGTGGCTGGGGGAGCAATCTACAAAGTTCCCACTGCCAAAATACATTTGAATTGGGGAGTGGGGGCAGGGCTTGTAGAGGTGGGGATGATGCAAGATTTGCCAGCGGATGTTATTTTGGGAAATGACTTGGGGGAGCTCACCTCCGCTTTTATTCCGCGACCCACCACACAGGAGGCATATCCAGTCGTCAACAGGCAACAGGCTCGCACCACGGCACCACCAAATGACTCTGAGGCTCAGGTAAGGGATGTCACTCACAACCACACTGTCCTTCCCTGGGATGCCCCTCTAGAATTTGGTAGCGAGGTCGCTCTAGACCCTTCCCTGCAGGTTTACAAAGACCGAATAGACAAGAACCAGGCAGGCTTAGAAGGGGAAAGATATGCTTGGGATAAGGGGTTATTATACCGGTATGCAGAGAAGATAGTGGCCGGATCCATCCCCATTCCCATAAAACAGTTAATTGTGCCTTGGAAATACAGACAGGAATTAATGCACATAGCGCACAACATACCTTTGTCTGGCCATTTAGGAATCAGCCAAACTAAACATCGGCTGACTCAGAACTTCTTCTGGCCAGGTATCTCCCAGGATATTAGACAATATTGTAATACCTGCGATACCTGCCAGAGAGTAGGGAAAAGGGGAGACCGCTATAAAGCCAAACTGCATTCCCTACCCATAATCGAAGAACCTTTCAGTCGAGTAGCGGTAGACATAGTAGACACGCAGAAAGACTGGGAGCGGTTCCTACCCCACTTGCTGTTCGCATATAGGGAGATGCCCCAAGAGTCCACGGGATTCTCGCCCTTTGAACTATTGTTTGTAAAAAGGGTGCGGGGACCCCTAGATTTGATTAGAGAACATTGGGAAGGGGGAGTCACCACTAATGGTACCCCTATTGTGCCATATGTACTGGAGTTTCGGGAGCGCTTGGAGGCTTTAACTCAGACAGTACGGAACAACCTCCAGGTAGCCCAACAACGGCAGCGCAAATGGTACGATAGGGGGGCCAGGGACCGCAGCTTTCAGGTCAGGCAGAAGGTGCTAATCCTACGGCCCGTCCCCAGTGACAAGCTGCAGGCCTCATGGCAGAGCCCATTTAAGGTGGTAGAACAAATCTGCGATACCACCTATATAATTGTCCCATGCGTTGGAGCAGGGGGCAGACGCATGCTCCATGTGAACATGCTGAAACCCTATCACGAGCGCACAGAGGAGGTGACCGCAATATGTGCCTCTGCCGCAGAGGACGTAGATAACCTGCCCCTACCAGACCTTCTCGCCCGGGAAGGCCAAAAAGAGGATCTAGAAGCTGTACAATTAGGGGAGCGCTTGAATCCCCAGGAAAAGACCCAGGCCCAAAGTTTAATTAGGGAAAAGGGAACCACCTTTTTCAATCTTCCCGGGTATACCCCATTGGCCACCCACCGGGTAGAAACTCCAGGGCAAACACCCCTTCGCCAACCACATTACCGCATTCCTGAATCAGTAAAAGAGAACATGCGTAAGGAGATTGACGAAATGTTGCAATTAGGAGTCATTGAGCATTCAGATAGCCCATGGGCTTCCCCAGTGGTACTGGTGCCGAAGCGGGATGGAACTACCCGCTTCTGCGTAGACTATAGAAGGCTCAATGATAAAACCGTATCAGACGCCTACCCGATGCCACGGATAGACAAGCTTTTAGATAGGATGGCCAGAGGCCAATACCTAACCACAATCGACCTTTGCAAAGGGTATTGGCAAATACCGTTGGCCTAGGACGTCATCCCTAAATCAGCGTTTGTCACTCAGTTTGGCCTGTACCAGTTCAGGGTCATGCCATTCGGAATGAAAAACGCCCCAGCCACTTTCCAAAGGATGGTAGACCGGCTATTAGACAGGTTTCAAGAATACGCATGCGCCTATCTGAACGACACAGCGATCTTTAGCTATTCCTGGACCGACGACCTGAGCTGTCTTAGATCGTATTAAGGAGGCAGGGCTAACCCTTAAACCTAGTAAGTGCCATATAGGGATGGTCGAAGTCCAATATATAGGACATCGTGTAGGAAGTGGCCAGCAGAAACCGGAACCGGCCAAAATAGAGGCTGTAGCCAAATGGCCAACCCCCCACACCAAAACCCAGGTTTTAGCATTTCTAGGTACCACAGGGTATTATCGAAAATTTGTGCCTGATTACAGTACCCTGGCCAAACCCCTCACTGACTTAACACGCAAGAATCTCCCTAAGTTAGTAGTATGGGCCCCAGAGTGTGAAATGGCATTCCAACAACTTAAAACCGCTCTTGTTAACGCACCTGTACTCGCTGCTCCTGATCCAACTAAACGCTTTCTCGTCCATACAGACGCTTCTATGTTTGGATTGGGAGCAGTACTGAGCCAAGTCGGGGCAGATGGCGGCGAGCAAGATATAAGATACACCTAGATAAAAAATAATAACAAGAAAGGAACAATCATAGGGAAACACCGTTTAGTAGATGGCGGCGAGCATCCCGTAGCTTACTTAAGCAGAAATCTTTTACCTCAAGAAGTAAGCTACGCAGCCATCGAAAAAGAATGCCTTGCCTTGCCGTGGTATGGGCCCTCAAGAAACTACAACCATATTTATACGGACAACCATTTTTGCTACTCACAGATCACAACCCGTTGGTCTGGCTGAACCGGGTATCAGGGGACAATGCCAGGCTGCTGCGCTGGAGTTTGGCGCTGCAGCCTTTTGACTTTACTATCCAATCCCGCCCGGGAAAGCTAAATGGCAACGCCGACGGGTTATCCAGACAAACTGAACTTGAAAAGTGATCTGTGAGTACTCCTCCGGACATCCCCAAGCCGATCCGTTGGGATCAGACTGTGTATGCCGGCTTGGTTCTGGGGGAGCATTGTGGCAAAACTAGCCACTGGAGACTATCAATGTATGAGTCTGTTTGTATTCTTTCTAAAGCTGTAGAGACAAGTGTATGATTGTAATTGCATTTCAGACGAATGAGGGCATTCGTATGCTGGCGGCATGAAAACCCCAGCATTCATACTGTAGTTTCACGAACAGTGAGTTTCAACACTGTTCGTGAAACGAATAACCTACCGAATGGACGACCACACACAGGAGGTCGTGTGGCGCCCATTAACCGATTGCAACATTGTTGCAATCGGTAGTTAAGTGTGTTCCTAGGTGGCCGTCGTTCGGCTACCGACCACGCGGCGGTCGGCCATCTTGGTTCCTTTGTTACCCCAGCGGTGTTTGGTCGTCGAGCGCCTGGAACTAAAATCGGCTACTCGACGGCGCGAATATCACTGGACTTCCAGGCCGTTCAGGAGCCCCGGGCGTTGGGTAGTTTGTTCCCCTGATGCCAATCGGTACTTTGAGTATAACTTGAATTTAATGTGTGTTTCGTGCAGCGTTCGGTTAGTTAGGCTGGGATCTGAGCGGTATTCTCACGAACTGTGCGCTCAGACCCCAGCTATCTACCAAACGTCCATTCGTTTAAATTAAGGGAATATTATGGGAATTATGTATTTTAATGTGAAATGTAAGTTCTGCTGCACAGAGGGATAATCCACTTAGCTGTATATTCTAGTGGGAGTATCCCTCTCGTGCAGCAGTGCATGGTGGGAGAAATGTATGTATTGTTCTGTTCCCCATATAGTCCCCTACTGTGCCACCCCTGGAATGTCAGTAGGGAAACCCCTTGCATGGGGAATCCCATAAATACTGTGCCTGTAATTAAAAACCTCAGTTGACCTCCAAGCTATGTGTCGTCTAGTTCTTGGGAGGAAGGGATTGTAACTACGCTACCTGCATTTTACCTGCTTTGTACCTGCTTGATTCTGTCTACCAGCGGATATACCATGGATAATACTACTACTCCGCTACAGTACCCTTCCTGAATTATAGGAGTAGCTGAGAGAATCATATCCATACAGATTATTTTTCTTCACAATGAATTTGACTTATTTTAGATCCTGGATTAGCCTGTGAGAACCATGTGGCTTCTACACTAAAAACAGCCTTGAATAAGTCCCTGAAAATGTTTCTGTGAGAGGTAGTTCTTCTGCTACATTTTCCTTTAACATAGTCTGGACTTCTGTGGAATGCACTGAAGCAGTTCTGGGAGAATGGACTGCAGAACAAAGGAATATTCTAAGAAGAAGTTCGCTTAGTTGTAATTGGTAGCCCCTTTTCACAAGTGAATGTACACAGTTGTATTTTCTTCAACCTTCCTGGCATCATAATCTATGTTTCTTGGTTCTCCAAAATAAGTTTCCTTGTTTTTTGTTCTTGTATTCAAAAGGTTTTCTTTGGCTTCTTTTTGATGTGGGCCTATGAATGAATCTCCAAGTCTGCAGACCAGCTTCTACGCCATACTACATGCATGGGCTTCTGATATAGCATCTGAAAGAAAATCAGATGCCATTCTAATGTATTGTAGAATTTTCACCGGGTCTTATTTGGATTCCCACATATGCATTTTTTCCAGGTAACCTAGCAAAAAACTCTGGGCTTTAGTTATAGATGTTTTACTTTGTGCTGCTGTAGCAGAGAATAGCTTTCGTAATGAAGACTGCTTTTTTATCCAAGGCATCCTGAAGACCACTGGAATCTACGATAGTTTAGGTGTTTTTCTTTCCCAACTGAGCAATTGGTACATCAAGGAGCAGCCAAATTTTAGGCATTATAGCCCAGCCCGTGTCAGCCTTAGGAATATACCGACAGCTAGCCCAGTGGTTCCCAAACTTTTTAGGTTCAAGGCGCCCTTAATGTTTCAGTATTTTTCCAAGGCACCCCAAGTTAAATGTTCTAGGTTGTATATCTTTACAGCGCTGCTGTATTTACTAGTGCTATAGTGTAATGTACAGTGTTGGTGTTTGAAGGGATGCTTGAATACATTTATTGTGTTTTAATACAGGGGTGTGTTTGTATGTAATGTTTCAGTTTGATTGCAAGAGTGTCTGAATGAAATGTTCACTTTTAAATGTGGATGTACATTTGTGAAGTATTTGTGTTTGAGTGAAGGGGTGTGTTTGTATGTATTTTCTTTTAGTTTGAATGCAGGGGTGTGTTTGTATGTAATATTTGTGTTAGATTTCAGGAGTGTGCTTGTATTTGACTGATTGGATGTATGCACATACACAACCACATACATACATACATACATACTTACACAGATATTAATGCACATTAACACAGAGATGCATAGAAATACACCGACATATACATACAAATTCATATAGACACCAACACATACACACACCGACATGCACCCTGGCACACAAACATTGATGCATGCCCACACCCTGACACACATACACACACCCTGACACACAGAGGCACATACACAGAAGCACACCCTGACACACACACATACAGCACTCAAACACTCATTCACATTCATACTTACACTAATACACACAAGTGTTTGTTTGGTTTTTTTTTAATATCTCCAGCCACCTTCCTGTAGCTTGTCTTGTGTGTCCAGGAGGGTGGCTTGGAGTCCTGGTCCTGCTTTTGCTGCTGCTGGGGGGAGTGAATGGGGTCTGGAGATCTTCATGCTCCTCTCCCCTCACGCTGCCTCCTCTCCCTCCCGCGCCGTCTATCTGCACAACGCTGGAAGTGACAGGCTGCTACTTCCTCCCAGCCGGCCAACATTACAGGGGCCCGGTCGCGGTCTTAAAGGACCGCGGCACTCGACCGGGTCCCTGTTGAGCAGTAATGTTTATGTTACTTCACCAAATGTGTGGAGGGAGCCAGAGGCAGACAGACAGGATGCCTGTGCAAATACACAGTGCACAGGCACCACACTGTCTCCCACTATACACCAGGGAGGTCCTGAGTTTGAAAGCTGGGGCCTGGTGTAAGTGCAGGGGATATCATCAGAGTCCTATAAGTTTTGGGGATGTCATCTATGTCCTGGGGATAGTGCAGGGGATGCCATATGTGTCCTGGTTAAGTGCAGGGGATGCCATATGTGTACTGGGTAAGTGCAGGGGGTGCCATTTGGGTCCTGGGTTAAGTGTTGGGCATTCCAGGTATCTTATTGCAAAGCAAGTACAGGGGATGCTAGAGATCTGGGAGCAGAGCAAGTACAGGAGATGCTAGACATCTGTGTGCAGAGTAATTGCTGGGGACATCATATGCGTGCCTGAGCAAGTGCTGGGGATGTAATCAGGTGTTAACCCACGGCAAAACTCTGACAGCCAGGCTCATGAGAGAGGAAGGGCCTGTCAGGAGAGGACACAGAAAACCTCCTGTGTTCCCATACTAAGGGGAGGGCGATCTTCACTCTCCATTCGCTCAACTGTATGGATATATTTATGGTGTATTGCCTGTACCCCCTCCCTTGATCTTCACATTTATACCCTGAGCAGTCTGGACCCCCAGGACTGCCGGGCCCAAGACATTCGTCACGCCCAAATGGCGGCCCTGTTTATGCATTTACTGCTTATTGGCATACTATATACCAAGTGTATGCATTTACAGCTCATTGGTTTAATATACAAGGTTTATGTATTTACTGCTTATTGGCTTGATTTACAAGGTTTATGCATTGAATACATTCCTTTGCTGGAAAATGCTTCAGAGCTCCTTTTACTAAACCTTGCCAGGTTGGGGAAATCTCTTATTGATTAGTGATGTACATGTGTCATGTGGACAGGGCAATTGCTCCCCACATTGCTCTCTTAACACTTTTCACATCGTATTTCCCAAGTGCATAGCACTTTAATTCTTTCTATTCAATTATCTAGTATGTCTATTAACACATCCATTTTGTTTGTGCATTTGTGTCTATCGCGGATGTTACAGATGGGTTGATAAAAATGCACTATGGGCTACTAAATTGTTTTTATACCACAAGCCACAAGTTGACAGCCCTTCCCTGGGTACATCTACTTTAGATAATTCTTCCAATTTCTTGTCAGCCTCTTCTTTAATAGCAAAAATTGTTTCAAAATGTTTTTATATAAATGCTTTTTTTCAGAAGTATACTTGCAATTCTCTTAACATCCGATCTCTTAAAGGGACACTATAGTCACCAGAACAACTACAGCTTAATGAGTATAACCATTGCCTTCAGGCATTTTCATGCAAATGATGCCTTTTCAGAGACAAAGGCAGTGTTTACTTTGCTCCAAGTGGCCACTCCTCAGCCACTGGAGGTGCTTCCTGGGGCAGTGCTGCACTGTAGGCAGCACTGCCGTTCAGCATCTCCACGCTCTACATGGAGGTGCTGATTGGCCAAAATTACATTTGGCTCTGCCTCCTTCCCTATGGGAAAGCAATGGATTGGCTAAAAAAAAAAAAAAAAAACGGAAATTCTGATTATGTCACCAAGGAGGCGGATCGGGGCAGACTCGCGTGCTGCTGGAAATAAGATGAATTTTATTGTTTTCTAAAGTGGCTAAGGGTAGTGGGGGGAGAGGGGGCAAGCCACCTAAATGGTGGACTAAACACTATAGGGTAAGGAATACATGTTTGTGTTCCTGCCCCTATAGTGTTCCTTTAATTTAGGATGGAATAAAAATAATAATTAAAAAAAAAACGTTTTCTGTTTTTGAGAGAATTTTTATCTTTTGTCACTTCTTCATTTTCCATAAGAATCTGAACTTCTTTAATCAATCTGTTTAGATTGTCTTTATCAAAATAATGTCCCTCATCTGCAGAGACTGGAGTATTCAGAGAAGTCAGATGATGAGAATTCAGAATCTGTTATTTCACAGTGCCTTTTTCTCTATTTTTAGGTAAAGATTTTAAAGCCAGCTCAGGATGTAAAGCTGTCTTTGCTGATTAAATTGTAGTTTTTCTTGTATACAAAAAGTCAGCTGCAAACGGTTTTGGAACCAAGAAATAAAAAAAATGTAAAAAGAGGAAACGTCACACTTTAAATTTTTTTATATTTTTTTTTCACGGGGTTAAGACACCGGAATCCATGAAAAAATTTAAATAAATTTAAAAAATATATCAATGTTCTTAATTGTTGGCATGAAAATTGCTGTAGTCCACATTTAGGGCATTGTGGAATGTCAATTATTTTTATGTTCCAAAGCTCCATCCAACAAGATAGAGAGTGTGGCTTTTTGTAAAGTTGAATATTTCCAAACTTTTCAAAATTAATGTAAAAATGATGGTGGATGGGGGTGTGTGTGTGTGTGTGTCTCTATACCAGAAGTCCAGTTAATGAAACAGAACAACGCACATCTGTCTTAAGTTGGTCTTTACATTTATATCCATGTTTTTTGGATTAGGTCACCTTTTTTATATGGTTCTGTTTAGAAATAATAAAATGTAATTTAAATTTACTGAAAACCTTCAATAGTTCACTGGTTGGTTAATACTGGGCTGTATGGTGTTGAGAATTAGCAACGTTAGACTAATAAAGAAGCAGTTTATGACAATAGCAAAATTAAAAATAAAAAAAAAAGAAAGAAAAAACAAGAGAAATTATTCTAGTTCAAGATTACTATAATTTTATTGATGCAATTCAAATACAATCTAGAAGTCTCATGTATGCTTTTCTCTACAATGAATCAATTATCATGATGACCAAGAAATTGAAATCATATCGGACTTTACTTTGACAGGTTCTTAAAACAACAATGCCTCATAACACATACAGTAAAATACCAAAAAAAATATATAACTTTGCAGAATAGTCTAAATTCAACAACACCATCTACTTGAGTAATTAATAAAATAGATTATACAAATAAATGTGGATAAGATGAAGCAGTTCAATACAGCATTACTTTCTGAATGGTGTTTTATAATCACAATAAAGGTCCAAGCTTTGATGGTAACCCAGTACCAGTTTGCTTGATAGATATGGATATTGGTTAAATAAGAGAGGTAAATAGTTTGAAAAACATATCTCTAGTGAACCTCAGATGATTTCCTAAAATTTACCTTTATTTCCTTTGCCGAGGTTAAATTCTCCCACAGCCCGATCCACCTTGGCTGAAATCACTACCTCTCTAGATGAATTTCAGGGAGGACGGAGGACGTGCCGCCATTGGCTGTCTGGCGTCAGCATGTTCTGCATGCTGTTGTCAAACACCAATTTTGCACAAAATTTACATAAGCCAGCACACACTTTTGTTCTGGGCTAACTAATCATGCTGCCAGAGTTCATAGCGAAATACTGCACATATAGACTCTAGATACCATGACTACATCAAGGCACTGAAATGGTCATGGTGCTTGGAATAACCCTTTAAGTGTGAATGGTAAATGAAAACATTTTTTAAAAATGAACAACCCAAAAAAATATTTAAAATCAAACACCTGTAAAGATCTTGTACACTGCATATGAAGGCTACACACCAGGTAAGTGGTATGCAGATACACTGCAAATATCCAAAGTGCCCATAGGCAAAAGAAAACAGAAAACAGAAATCTAGGTTTACTGAGAAATGTAAACAGCAGATCGATCCCTCCAATATTTACTATCACAGTCACTTTAACACTCTTTACTTATAACCCTGTATATACATGGCTTGGTATAAACATTTGTAAAAAATGTCTCCCTCCTTTTCCTCAAGGAAATGGTAGATATATTGATCTCTGCAAAACCAAATTACATAAACTAGAAGAAAGGTGTAAACTGGGCACCAGTTACAAATTAAAGATTGACCTACATTATCAGCAAATCAATCTGCTCTTTTTTAAGGTGAGTGAGGATACCTACTTGCAATAAAATTGTATAATGCACTACTGGTTGTCAGAGATAGGTCTTAAAGTTCCTGTCACTTTGCAGATTTTGTTTGTAAATTAACCCCTTTGTGTCTGCTTGGTTGCCTTGTTTTTGATTTTTCAAAAATCACCTGTTTTTTAAGGTATGCATGAAATAAAGGACTACTTTTTATCTTTGGCAAGTTTTTAGCAATGGGCAGAGTTTAATCAAAGTTGTATTTCAGTTGCAGTTGCAAATTTAATTTACCCACAATCCGTCAAAAGAATCCCACAAAAGGGCAAACTGTAGACATCATGAACAGAGGAGAACAAAATGGTGGCGTCTGTATACTTCGATAGGGCACAATGAAAACAAGATAACTATATTCCCTACCATGCCACTTACCTTTATAGTTATCAAGATTCATGGAAAATAAAATTAAAAGATAAAACAAAAATAATGACACGGTTACTTTAAGATGTAACGGGGAACTTGCATTACTTTACAAACATGTGTTATAGTACTGCAATCCGAAATATTTTTCGAAGAGGCATACTGTTTTAAAACCAGTCAGTGAAACTAGTTTGTGAGATTACTTCCCTCTGACTAAACTGCATGTATTTACATTGCATCTTCATGAGTCCTGGGACTCCTCATAGTGGGCATAGCCACTGGCGTACGTTCTGCCTAAATTCAAGTGACTAAATGGCTCAGAGGCCTCTGTGTCAGAGTCCTTTTCCCCATCATCATCATCACCACATTCTTCATCATCTCCATCCTCATCATCTTCTTCCTCATCATATTCATAATTATTACCACCAGATGCAAGATTTTTCCAGTAGTCTTCATATCCAGAAGCACCATCTTCATCGTCTGCACCCGACTGCCTGCCAAATTTCAGGGAGCGTGCTACAAAAAAAAAAAAAGAAAAGAAAAATAGACAGAGGATTGACTTTCATGCAACAGAAAATCTACGCTCCAACATTTAAGTATATAGAGCCACATCCAATCTAATTATATATGCATGTGATAATAAATAAGTTAGGACTTGATTAATTAGAATTTCAATGTTTACTTATGTATAACTAGTAAGGATACTTTTATACTTGGGTCAATTTTTTATTATTGAAGTGAGAATTCAAATTGAATTTCAAAATGTAGACCAAAATTGCTGAACTGGAAGCATACCTGACTCCGAGAATGTGTCCAAATCTGCTACTGTGGGCTTAAATTTGAAATTCACTTTAAATTCCTGTCACTTATCACTTTAGTGAATAAACCCTGACAGTGTTACACACATTTTGTACCTGTACTGAAGACTGAAAACGCTTTGCTTTGAGTATCTATTCATTTGAAAAATCTAATTTAACCACTGATGGTAACAAGTGGTTAAAGAAGAGTGTGAGACAGACAGACACACGTTATGTTACCCTTTAGCACAGCATAGCACTAATGGATAAACAATTATGCACAGACACTACAGTTTTAACATTTTAAATGACAAATGGAAGAAAAAAACTATATGACTGAATACATTGCTTTTTTCTACAAGCATTTTACAAAAAGGACTAGTTGTACATATCTTTTGAATAAAGATGAAAAGAAAGACAATATGGAGTGTGATCTCTGTGAATATTGCAATTGTGTTAAAATATGGATTTTTATTAACTTTTAATGGTTGTTACTTCAAATAATTATCAAATTATGTTTGTTTGCACAAGCTAGCTAGCTGATTTCAGTTAATTTACTGAATGCTTACGAATCAGGAATGTTGCAGAAGAAACTTTAAACATAGAATCAAAATGAGGTCTCTTACTTGACATGCTTAAGTTCTTTGTCTCCTGTGTCTCATGGCCACATTTAGGGCATGGTGGGGGCTTTCCCTTCTCAGCCTTGAAAACTTTACTTCGAGCATGATCATCACAGAAACAAGCCTGTTTTGAAGAAAAAAAATGAAAATATGAAAAATTTGAAAACTTAGTGAAAACTGTCATAGTGAAATGTAAAGATGTGTCTCGTCTTAAAACAAAATCAGTGTTTTTGAGATTATACTTGATTATTAAGTATTCTAGGTACAAGCAGGTGGGATTACTTTGTAAACGTGTGGAGGGGAGTACCCATTACTCTGCACAACCATAATTCGGTACTCAGGCAGGGGGGAGGGGGGGTATCATCATCCTCTCTATAAATATATTGGTTTGCCATTTGTGATGTTGGAAACCATATACTAAATTCTAACTTAGGGGCTGAAATTTCATCAAATTTTCTTTAAAATTACATATTTTAAAAGTATATATAAGTATGCTATAATGAAAGGGAAACTATAGGCACCTAAAGAACTGTAGCTCAATGAAGCAGGTTGGGTGTATAGACCATGGCCTTGCAGGCTCACTACTCAATTTTCTGATATTCTGCCATTTAGAAGTTAAATCACTTTTGTTTCTGTTTATGCAGTCTTAGCCACACCTCCCTGGTTGTGACTCATTAAAGGAGTCATAAAGGAGTCAGACTGGAGCAATTTAAATGGAGTCCAAGAGAAATGGGATTATTTAAAAGTTGCACTGCTGAAGGCAACAGAAAATTGCATTAGGCTTGTCAGTAAAAGCAAAAAATTCAAGAAACCACTGTGGTACTCCACAGATGTGGCCAAAATAGTAAAAAACTAAAAGTTAGCATTTAGTAATTATAAAAAAAACCCAGAGTGAGGAAGACAGAATGATCTATAAGATTAGGCAGAAAGAGGCTAAGTTATAAGAGCTTCCAAATCACACACAGAAGAGAAAATAGCACAGTCAGTAAAAAAGGGGGACAAAACTTTTTTTAGATACATAAATGAGAAGAGAAAAGTAAAACAAGGATTAGATTAAAAACAAAAGAAGGGAGATAAGGTCTAGCTGACTGCCTCAATTAATATTTTTGTTCGGTATTTACAGATGAAAATGAAGGAAAGGGACCTCAGTTAAGAAAGAGGATAAATTAGTCATTTATTACACGTGAGTTTACAGAGGAAGAGGTTCTATTTCAACTGTCAAAAGTAAAGACAAATAAGTCAATGGGACCTGATGGAATACACCCAAAGCTGTTAAAAGAGCTTAGTGGTGTACTAGCAAAACCATTAACAGATTTATTTAACCAATCGTTGTTAACAGGAGTAGTCCCAGAAGGTTGGAAGTTAGCGAATGTTGTGCCCATTCACAAGAAAGGTAATAGGGAGGAGTCGGGCAACTATAGGCCAGTAAGCCTTACTTCAGTAGTGGGGAAAGTGATGGAAACCATGTTAAAGGATAGGATTGATGAACATCTAAAAACACATGGATTTCAAGATCAGAGACAACATGGGTTTACTTCAGGGAGATCATGCCAAACTAATCTTATTGATTTTTTTGATTGGGTAACTAAAATAATAGATCAGGGTGGTGCAGTAGACATTACTTACCTAGATTTCAGTAAGGCTTTTGACACTGTTGCACATTGAAGGCTTATCAATAAACTGCAATCTTTAAGTTTGGATGCCAATACTGTTGAATGGGTTAGGCAGTGGCTGAGTGACAGGCAACAGAGGGTTGTAGTCAATGGAGTATATTCGAAGCTTGGACTTGTCACCAGTGGGGTACCTCAGGGATCTGTACTTGGACCCATTCTCTTTAATATTTTTATTAGTGATATTGCAGAAGGTCTTGATGGTAAGGTATGTCTTTTTGCTGATGATACTAAGATATGTAACAGGGTTGATGTTCCAGGAGGGATAAGCCAAATGACAAATGATTTAGGTAAACTAGAAAAATGGTCAGAATTGTGGCAACTGACATTTAATGTGGATAAGTGCAAGATAATGCATCTTGGACGTAAAAACCCAAGGGCAGAGTACAGAATATTTTATAGAGTCCTAACCTCAACATCTGAGGAAAGGGATTTAGGGGTGATTATTTCTGATGACTTAAAGGTAGGCAGACAATGTAATAGAGCAGCAGGAAATGCTAGCAGAATGCTTGGTTGTATAGGGAGAGGTATTAGCAGTAGAAAGAGGGAAGTGCTCATGCCATTGTACAGAACACTGGTGAGACCTCACTTAGAGTATTGTACACAGTACTGGAGACCTTATCTTCAGAAGGATATTGATACCTTAGAGAGGGTTCAGAGAAGGGCTACTAAACTGGTTCATGGATTGCGGGATAAAACTTACCAGGAAAGGTTAAAGGATCTTAACATGTATAACTTGGAGGAAAGACGAGACAGGGGGGATATGATAGAAACATTTAAATATATAAAGGGAATCAACACAGTAAAGGAGGAGACTATATTTAAAAGAAGAAAAACTACCACAACAAGAGGACATAGTCTTAAATTAGAGGGACAAAGGTTTAAAAATAATATCAGGAAGTATTACTTTACTGAGAGGGTAGTGGATGCATGGAATAGCCTTCCAGCTGAAGTGGTAGAGGTTAACACAGTAAAGGAGTTTAAGCATGCGTGGGATAGGCATAAGGCTATCCGAACTATAAGATAAGGCCAGGGACTAATGAAAGTATTTAGAAAATTGGGCAGACTAGATGGGCCAAATGGTTCTTATCTGCCGTCACATTCTATGTTTCTATGTCTACACGAAAAATGATTTCACTTTCAGTCAGATGTTAACTTGCTTTAGAAGTTTTTATACCCTGCTCTGTAAATTGAACTTTAATCACACACAAGCGACTTCTGCAGGGTCTAGATGACTATTAACACAGCAGTAGATAAGAAATTCTAAATTAAACAGAATGTGTAATTAAGGAAGTTTAAACATCTTTAGATCTTCCTTTACAGGAGGGGTTTATAAGGCTGTGCAAGTTACATGCAGGTAGTTGCGACTGGAGCTATAGAAACAGTAATTTAACTCCTTATTGGCAGAAAATTGGCAAAATTGCTCCATTAGTCCAAAGTTGTTTTGGTGCCTCCAGTGTACCTTTAAATATCATAATTTGTGGAATGCACTTTGAATAGAATCCATGTAGGTGCTATATCCACAGATTCTAAATCAAATGTTACTTTTAAATCGGTAGATAAGGTTGTTTGTAGAGCCTTACCTTGCAGCGGAGGCATGAATGTTGTCCTAATCGATTGCAGGAGGCACCTGTGACCGATAAATAAAACAAGTAGATTTTTACTTGGAAAAAAAAAAAAAGCACAACAACTTTCAGGGAACTATAGAATGTACACAGCAGCCATGTTTTGCTATATTTGTTAACCTATAGAAACGTGTCATGGCAAAGATTAACACCTTACAATCAGTACATGTGAAGTGAAAGGAATGCAGATAAAAACTTACACTTAAAGGTTTCTGCTTCCAAAACCTGGCAACTGGCCTGGTGTTCAAACTGGTCATCTTCACAAAGAAAGTTGTAACAGAATGAGCAGCTAAATAATCTGCCACCTGAAGGTAAAGAATGCAACGATGGACAACATTCAGAGGCAATGTTAATAGGAAATAGTGCAATAAAATCACAGCAAACTGTAGTAAAGAACCAAAGGAATACAGTGAAAAAAACTCAAATTTAAGAGGCAAATTAAATTTCAGAAATGATTTAAGATAAGACACAGTATTTTAAATATCTTATAACAATTTCACTTTGGATTGTAAGCTGTATGGATCAGGAATTTGCAATGTCTGCATACCAATAATACCGGAGATAGACAGACAGATAGATATACAGACTCTGAAAACTGTATTAACACCAAGGGTCTCTCACATCATTATCAGCCATGTTTAATGTCGCTGTAAATTAAAATACCCAAAGTTAAGTCTTTCTTAATATCTTTTTTACCAGAAACATAATCAGCACTGCTGCATTTATCTAATTATACTTTAGGAATCATTAGGAGTTTCTCTGTGACAAATATTACATGCCTGTTAAACATGGTTATGTACAAGTTACAAATAAACATTAAAAAAAACATGCATCTTTCATTTTAACAAGTGCCACTCATTATTGTGGATTGTAATAAAGGTCTGTTAATACTCCACTGAGAGACTGAGGAACTTCACACTAAACATTGAAGTTTTCCATGTGAAGGACAAGGTTTCTAAAGGAAACACTTAGTATTTCACAAAACATTTGCTCTAAATATTTTCTATTCAATATGTCTTTCATTCCATTTGCCAAGATAAAGTAAAAATGTCACAGTGTAAATTCAAAAGTACACCCCAGGGTATATTTAGTGCTCATATAATGAGAGCAAAAACAAGATAAATACTCAAGATCTGCAACTTATAAATTTACATTTTCTTAAACAAGATGGCGGCACAGGTCTTTTGGCCAACAGTGGTTACTCATTTTTATAGCAATCTGTGCAATTCCAATGAAATCCCTTCAGCGGCACATATAATCATGCCCAGTGTTTGTCATTCATTTAAAAATATATAACAAAGCACTCATACAAACTGAGAACGGATGTGTGGCAGTATGAATCAATGTGAGAGTCAGGTTATGATGTTAGCATAAGTGGACTTTGCAAGATGAGTTTTGCACATCTGATCTGTTAGATGAATTCTTGCAACGTGATGTTTGCAGTTCACATTAGAAAAATCAAAGCAGAAGCCTGAGGTGGTCATCAATTTTCTTGATTAAACTGGCTTTTTTCCCACATAAAGAAGAAAACTAAAAGCAACGTCTTGAACTTAGCAGAAAGTACTAGCTATGCCTTGGGCAGAGACAGAAACAATTCTGCTGTATTTGGCCAGTCAACACGCAGCTGTCAAATATGCAAACAAGATTGACCAAAGTTATTTTACTTAATTTTTTTTATATCACGTATGAGCAAAATACATAAATAGTGTAAGTATAAATAAGTCTCTTTAGACCTTGGTCCCCCAACCACTTTTTTTTCCCCCTCAAGCTTTTTAATGGAACAATAAAATGAAGCAACACTATTCTCTGCAGTTAAAGAATTATTGGTAGACTATTTTCTTTTGCATAAAATCAAAGTTTTAATGCATGCACTTTGATTTGGAAAATCTTAACATAAAATCGTACCCACAGCTTAACTACTCTTTCCTGACAATCCCCAGACATAAATAACCTGTCACCCCCTACTTCCCTCACTCTACCCCATGTAACCCCCTCCTTCCCTCACTCTGCCACCTGTCACCCCCTCCCCGACACTGCCACCTGTCACACCCCTCAGCCACTGCCACCTCAGGGGTGTGACAGGATCTTTAATGAAAACCTTTATGTATAGCAGCAAAAAAAGACAGAAGCAGTAAAAATTAAAATTCAGCAATTCCACCTCTGCACACTAACGCGTTTCAGCCAAAGAACACTTTGATAAAGGCTTTGGCTGAAACGCGTTAGTGTGCAGAGGTGGAATTGCTGAATTTTAATTTTTACTGCTGCTGTCTTTTTTTGCTGCTATACCGAATAAAGGTTTTCATTAAAGATCCTGCATCCTGGATTTTGTAAAGCAAGAAGGAGCAAGCAATTAAGCAGTTGGATTACAACGACCACCTCACTAATCCATTCACTGTTCCTAGTCTGAGCCAGCTTCCATATTAAGTGGCTCATGAATATGTGAGTTTATTCAAGTATTTACTCATACATATATTATTTGTACGTTATTACCCTATGCCTGTTTTTCCCATTGTGTTTTTACAGGTTTTATATAGGATATAAGGGTAATTTCATAAAGTCCCAGCTGACCCTGTCAAAGGCTTTTTCAGCATCTAAAGACAGGATCAGCATGGGACTCTCTTTCCGTTGTGATATGTCTAATACATCTATCAAACGTCTAATATTATTGCTTGTCATTCTGTCCGGAACAAAGCCTGTTTGATCAGGGTGAATTAAATGTTTCATAACTTCTTTAAGTCTACTAGCTATAATAGAGGAGAATATCTTAATATCTACATTTATTAGCGATATTGGACGATAGCTTTGGACTTTAGTTGGATCTTTCCCTGGTTTCAATATGGGTAGGATATTTGCTTTTAGCATTTCATCTGGAAATCTGTCTTTTTTTAACTGCAGTATTAAAAGTATTTTTTAGATGACCTATCAATTGGGATTTTATTGTTTTATAAAATGTATTCCCAAAGCCATCCGGACCTGGCGTTTTATAATTTTCTAGACTATTACTATATTGATCTCTTCTTTTGTGATCTCTTTATTTAGATTATTCGCTTTTATTTCTGTTATTTTATTCAATTTAGCTGATTTATTATAATCTTTTATTATTTCTGAAGGAGTAGTTACTGAGAGACTATATAAGTTGGCATAATACTCATTAAAAGCTTTTCCTATCTGTTCTGGAAGAAGGGAGATGGTATCGTTACTTATTATTTAATCAACCTGATTGATTGTATTTCTTTTTTTCAGCATATTGGACATTATTTTGTCAGCTCTATGAGATTTGTGATAGAATTTAAATTTGAGTTTATACATATTTGTTTTTTCATAAATTTTTTTCCTGGATCTCGGATTTAATATTCTCTATTTTTAACTGATTATCCTTTGCTGGGTTTGCATTATTTTTCCTAATTAAATTATATAGTTCAATATGGAGATCTTGTAAGTTAGCGCCGTTCTTTTTATTCTGTCTGCAAGATGTTTATTCACTAAAGAGTGAACTGTTGCAAAGTGACAACTGGATTGCAAAACTCTGCTTAAAGGGACATTGTAGGCACCCGGACCACTTCAGCTCATTGAAGTGGTCTGGGTGCATATTCCCAGGTCCCTTAACCATACAAAGGTAATTATTGCAGTTTTAATAACTCCACATCTAGTGGCTGGAGTGGAGGCAGACCTGAACCAGCGCCCAAGGGGTTGGGGCATTGACATAGGAATATAATAGGAACATATAAGAAGACCCAATATATAAAGGTATCAATACAAACTATAGGGGTAAACAGCACAATTAGCTAAGGCCAGGAGGCTTATCCCCTTTTTCAAGTAAAATTTCCCTTCAATACAGTCAAACATGTATCCCTGACCCTCTAGTATTAAAATCACCATCTTTCACATACTGAAGCAACATTATAAACTATACCATGACAGTGCAGTTTAATAACACACCATGATCCCAGACTGTCCGTTCACATTCAACGCATTCGGCACAATTGAGAGGACATGTGCAGGCATGAACGCTAAGACACTTCTTGCCGTGGCACACCCAAGCTTCACAGAAGTCACATATTGCACCCTGAAAAACACAGAAAACATTACCTATCTGGACATCAATTTACATAATAAAAACAAGCATTTACACAGTTCCACCAGTCTCCATAAGAGTAAAAAAAATCTATATATATATATATATATATATATATATATAAAAATTTGTGTATGAATATATACGTATATACACACCTCTTCACAAAACAGTTTTAAAACGGACATGTTAGAATTGGCAAGTAAGGCTGCACTGTAATGGACATAGAAAAAATTGCAACATTTTCAGGATTATCCATTTACACTCAGATTTGTAACGTTGCAGTTCATAAACTGATACAATAAGCTGAGGGCACCCTCTTCTGGTCAAATAAAAAATAACTACTGCTCATGATGAGGATCTGTATGATTATTATTTTTTTAAATAGTGAACATTTAATTAAGGTGCAATATGCAGTGAAGAAAAATAAAAACACTAGAATCTGCTACATGAATTGAATGCTGATCACTAACATCTGTGAGTCATGGTCACGAACCTAGCACTAAAAAATAAAAACAGCTAGATTGCAAAAACATCACAGATCCATTTTCTATGAAGGACATGTTTGCAGGTTACATGAGAAAAGAAGATGGGAACTGGAGAAGTGGCTTAATATGTTTTTGATGGGAGCACTGGCATTACTCACCCTGGCATCTCACTGCTCTCAAGTTAGCTTGTGAGGCCTTCAGGTGGAATAGCCTTCTGTCATGCAATGTTATACCACTTGTTTTTTTACTTAAAGGCACAATATAGTCACCAGAACAACTACAGCTTATTGAATTTGTTCTGGTGAGTAGAATCATTACCTTCAGGCTTTTTGCTATAAACAATGTATTTTCAGAGAAAATGCAGTGTTTACATTACAGCCTAGTGATAACTTCACTGGCCACTCCTTAGATGGCTGTTAGAGATCCTTCCTGGGTCATGGCTGCCTAAAATGCATCCAAACATTCAGTATCTCCTCCCTCTGCATGCAGACACTGAACTTTCCTCATAGAGATTCATTGATTCAATTCAGCTCTATGATGAGATGCTGATTGGCCAGGGCTGTGTTTGAATCCTGCTGGCTCTGCCCCTGATCTGCCTCTTTGTCAGTCTCAGCCAATCCTATGGGAAAGCACTGTGATTGGATCAGGCTACTACTTTTGATGATGTCAGCAGACTGCTTGTTTTTTTTTTTTTCAAGAAAACAGCATGCATAGTTACAGTAAGATTTTTACTATATTTATGGAGGCATGAGGGGTCCAGGGGGTCTAGATGGTGGTGTTAACACTATAGGGTCAGGAATACATGTTTGTGTTCCTGACCCTATAGTGATCCTTTAATTTGATATTAGTTACTCATGCATGGCCCAGGTAGATCTTATGAAAAGCCCCCGTATTTCATCATATTTTCTCTACCTTGCCATTAGATAAACATGTTATATTGATGAAAATCCACTCAGATCTACTTATAGTATGATCAGCTCATGCCATGTATTTTGTTTATAATTATTTTCTCATTTTCTTAAAAATGTGCCATTGTCTCCATGCCATGCTTAAGTTTTCCTCTGTTTGACATTATCATGCTTGTGTTCGCTGTTGTGGCATCACAAGCCTCTCTGTAACAATGTGCACAACAAAAATAAAGAATTAAAAATAAAAAAGAAGATGAGAAACATAAGAACTGGCACAGATTGGGACCTAGACAATAAAGCAAAAGCATGTTTTCCATAAGCCATCTAAATATATTAGAAATAGCAATGTGACAGGGCTCAAATCCCAGACGCAAGGTAGCCATGACGATAAGATATTTCACCATGGCGCCTGGGATGTCAGCCATTTAAGACAGCTGCCCACAGAAGCATGGGAGCCGGACTCCTGCAGGAGCATTGTAGGTGTTGTGCAAGGGAGGATTTATCTACCTGCAGCTCCTCTCTGCTCCCTCGCGTGCTGTTTAATGATGGCGGGAGCCTGAATATGACATCATTCCAGCCTCAGCATCACTACAGAGAGTGCAAAGAGCTGCAGGTATATTACTGCTCCCTCACGCGAGAGCTGCCCCACTGGACCCCAGGGGGGATCTCCGTTTGTGTGTGTGTGAGAAAATGTCTGTGTGTGTATCTCTATCAGTGTGTGTCTGTGTCCGTTTAGGTACTTGCTCCCTCCAATCGCACGAGAAAAGTGTTTTTACTCACCTTTTGTTCCCACAGCGTGCCTGTTTTACCATGGCTGGTCCTGCCTCCATGGTTGAAATAATCAGTATTTATGATCTCAGCATCTCCAATGAGCATCTCCTCATAGGGATGCATTTAAAAAAAAGCAGTGTTTACATTGAACGGTCTGCAGGTACAGGCTATCGACACCAGAACAACTACATTACGTTGTAGTAGTGTCCCTTAAGAATTGCATTTTTCTCATTGGAAATTAAACTTAAAATTAGTTGTTTTTGTTTTTTTTAAAACGGCTTCTAACTCTTTTAGCTTGCTCCTAGATTCTAAGCAAATTTGTTAAGCCCTGGCAATGACCAAGTTACCAGCTATTTAATGGTTGTTTTGGCTGAACTCTGCATTAGTCTTGGCTTCTACTAATGGCAAGAAAATGATGATGGCTCTTAATAGGTGTAAACCTCTAAAAGTAATGGTTTTCAAAATTGAAATACCTGGAATATGAGGATTAGTGAGTTCAAAAGGAGAGGTTATACATTCCACTAGGTTTGCGTTTTATTTGGGGTTTTTGTGTTTGATGCCCTTTGCAATGCTTTCCTAAAAGGAACATATTGTTCACAGATAGGATACAAATACAGGGTTATTCAATAAAGTGAATTCTCCATGTCAGCTTTGCTTTTAGTTCAGTTAACCTGAATTCTCACTTTAGTAAATAAACCTGATAATGGTATCAGTTTAATCTAGCCATCTAAGTAGTGATCCTCTATTCACAGTACTAAAGTGTAACTAGATGCTTAAGAGTAGTTATAAAGCAAGGAGGCCCCCACTACTCTCTCCTTTATTTCAAAATTAGAACCAAAGTTATCTGCAAAAGCAGCTGCAGCTCTAAGCCTATCCCTGCTTTATGGCATTTACATGGGGAAATATTTCCTTATCAGTACAGTATTACCCATGCTATACCTAAAACATGCTGCCTCACAACATTCTAAGAGTGAGTAGGTGCTGTGAAGGAGATCATTGAAGTTATGTCTTTGTTGTTTTTATCTCATGCTGAGTGAATTTCATATATACATAACACCTGCTGGACAGGACTGTATGGAATATTCACATAACTCACATTGAAAACAACGAAACAACTAAAATTGGGGAGAACTAACCACATAGGCTGCAAATTCTTAGTATATGCAGCATACAAAAGATACTATGATGATATATATAATTTTTTATTAATATTAATTTTTATTTCTCATCTAAATGAATAATATATTTCATAGCTACCTAAAGGTGGCCTTACAAACTTTGTTTGCATTTTGAGAGAAATGTTACACTTCTCGTTACCAGTGTCTCATTTCCAATGCATTTACTTAAAATGCTATAGCATGTCCACAAATGAACAGCTGGACATCAATATAGCACTAAGCTTCTACTACATTACCATCTCATTACCGCAGTCCTGCAACTGCCAATGAATTATAGAATAGTACTAATCTTTTCCGCAGTGCAGCTTCCACCCTGCTGTGCGCCCATACACCCTCAAAACAGAAAAAGTATAAAAAGGATTACAGAAGAACTACTGCAGTAAAAACAACTGTTACTACGTGTGTAGACTTCGTGGATATAACAGAACAGGTTAGGCAAAGCTTTCATTCCAGGAGCTTTGCTCTTACTTTGAATTAGTCATTTGCAAGCAGGTTTTAGTTTTACAGCTGATAAATAAATTAAAACTTGCTTCTGAGATTAGGCCACCCAGGTGGCTTATGTACACTTTTGTGAATAGGGATGTGGTGGAATAACGATAATGATAATAACTTTAATCTTGCAAGTGAAAATATTGGCATTCTGCAAAGTAGCAGTGTTTTCATTGCAGGGTTTAAATAGCGCATCTAATGAAAATAGAGAAAAACTATTTCAATAAGATGGTCTCAGAAAGACCATCTAATTGGCCAGCATGGCGTTTAGTCCTATGGGAAAGCTATGGATTGGCTGAGGGGATTGATTTAAATAATCTCAGCCAAGGAGGTGGAGACAGGTGCTGCAAGGAAGCAATGGTAAGTAAAATACCTTTTTTTTTTTACTCCCCGGGGACAGTCACCCAAACTTCAACAAGGCCCTATAGCATTAGTATAGCGTTCCTTTAATCAATGTTAAATTGATTAAAGGAACACCATCTTCATTTAATCATAGTGATAGTGTTCATTTAATCAGTTCTGTTTTTGAAAGGTTACTGATGGATCGTGAGTACTTTTTTTATAGAATTTGTCATCTCCAAGTATATTCTAAGCCTCCCGTAAATAATCATAATTCATAAAGACTATCCCTCCACCATTATCCACATTTTTTATTACAATTGCTGGTGTGTTCATTGAAGGACCACTATAGTCACCCAGACCACTTCAGCTCAATGAAGTGGTCTGGGTGCAATGCCATTCATGTTTTTACCCTTCACATGTAAACATAGCAGTTTCAGAGAAAGTCAGGAGACTTCAAGCTTCGGGCTGGTTCAGTACTAGTCACCACCAATTGCTATGCATTCTACATAAACATTGTAGGTATGAAAGAATAGAAGAAAGAGATTGAAAAACAAATAAAAACAACATCTCAACAGGATTAGTACGTTTTCTCGCAGACAGTTCTCCATTTCCAGACCCGAGTGTGTTCAGGTGTTTGTGGCTTGCGAGTTGCCATTCCTCGGGACAAAAGGGGTGATGTGGATTGGGTCCCAGTTTTCCGTGATGGTGTCCGGTTGCAGTCCCCTGTTCTGCCCTGCCAGCTTCAGTGCCTACAGGAGGACTGGTGCCCCTTCAATGGACGTAATTGTGTGATTAGTTCCATTGTAGAGTACTATCAGTGTCCCCCGGAGCTCCCCAGCGATAGGTGATGGCTGCGTTTCTCAGTTGTGAGGTGACAGTCCCCACTGATTACGCCAGAGTAGCGTGCTTTTGGTGAGGTCTTGAAAAAAGGCCAAAGAGGTGTTTTGTTTCTCAGGGCTGTCATGATTTGGGTTTTGTCTTGGAAGGTTTTTTGGCATTTTGAATGCTAAAAGCCCTTGTTAAAATGAACTTCCATAAAAATGTATTAAAACCTTTTAATCATTTTATAATTTTAAGTGATCTTGAGGGAGCAAAACGGAGTCACTTGTTTAGCCAAGGTATATGGTGGGTGGTTTAATTTAGATCAGACCGATTAAAAATTAATTTCAAATGAAACAGGGAACTTTGCTCTTTTGTACCTCTATCCCCTTTGTTTGGTAGCTTTCTCTTGAGGATGCTTTCCCAACTGGAGATTCATTGTTTGTACCGAGTTGATCTGTTGTCAGTACATCAGTATCTATTTTTGGTTAATATTATTAAATTTGGGTTAGTATTCTTTCCCTGTCCGAATCTGGCATGTATTCTTTTTCTGAATTCTGTCCAAAACATAGGACTCTGGTTTTTATCATTAGTCCTTGGTTTTCATCATATTGCCTCTTAAGATTACTATTGCCAATAGTCTGTCTTCTAACTTGGGGGTTACATCATTTTGGAGTATTATCAGATATATGCTTGGCTTCTGACTTAATTTTTGCTATAACTACTTTGATCTCTAAAATAATTTAATTTGTTATTATTTATATAGCGTCAACAGATTCTGTAGCGCTTTACAATATTATGAGAGGGGGAATTTAACTATAAATAGGACAATTACAAGAAAACTTACAGGAACGATAAGTTGAAGAAGACCCTGCTCAAACGAGCTTGCAGTCTATAGGAGCTGGGGTATAAAACACAATAGGACAGGAGTTTTGTTGTTTAAATTGCGCAAATTTGAGTATAACCGTTCCATCTAATTTAGTATTGCATCAGTATTGGGCAGATATTATATAGACTTGTAATTTTTGTTTTCTATTTGTTTAGTGAATCTTATAGTATGAACCATAATTGAAAAATTCATTCAAATTACTTGCTTTTATTATCGACATATTACCAAAGGCTAAAGAAAAACTTTACACTATTTAAACCACTGTTTACATAAACACAATAAAAATACACTGAACAAATGTTAATTATAAATTTGACTGGTACAAAATGCTTCTAATGCACAAATGAGGGTTTACTTACCACCATGGCCATACCAGTGCTGTACACATTGGGATGTCTAATGACACAATCAGAGGACTTCATCATACATTTAGTTTTCCCTGTAAAAGTAAATAGGACACAGTATTATTAAATGAACACTGTGGGAGGATGCATATTGTAAATGCTTGCCCCGGTGCTAGCCAGGTTATTCCGAATAGAAAGCTCCCCATTTGTTGTTACAAAAACCCTTCCATTAATCCGTTACTTATCTGCAATCCAGCGCTGACACAGTCTTTTCTGAGCAGTCTGGTCCACCTCTGCTTGATGGCCATTCTGTACAATCAAATGCTTCTCATTGAGGAACACTAAAGACTTCAAGCGCATGCGTTGCAATTGTTGCAATACACCTATCAAATACTTCTATCACTAAAGAAGCACCCACAAGGGGCTATCAGGAAGGCAGCCACTAGATGTGTGTGTATCCTCACAATGAAAACACTCATATTTCCATAAAGGAAGGGCTACTGATGATGCCTAACAAGGCTGAAACGATCGTCTGGGGTTGCTGTACTTCTCGTGCAGAGAGAACTTGCTAGCATTTCGGATCTGGACTGCCCGTATGGGTGGGACCAGTCTGATATGTTTCAGAGATGTTCTCCCTGTAATGGCACAAGCTGAGCTAAAACCAGCTTGAGAACTGAGTGGGGACCCACCAAAGGGCAGGCTATTTCGACTGCTGCCTGTTCTCAGTTTTCTCTTGCGCCCCGTTTTTTGCTCTCTATAAATAGGACAACTACAAAAAAAACTTACAGGAACGATAGGTTGAAGAGGACCCTGCTCAAACAAGCTTACATTCTATAGGAGGTGGTGTGTAAAACACACCACTACTGTTTTTGTTAACATTAGGAAGTGCCTTTTTTTTTATTGTTTTCCAAAAAGTAAAACATGTTAAATGGGATACAAAAATAAAAAGGGGGGAGGGGTAACGTTGTACTGAAACAGCCAAATGTCAAAACATCATTAATAACGTGACACTGTCTCTAACACCTTTCGTTATCTAAACACCGTCTGGAACCGCGGTAGTGGTCCTTCGGCTTGGCTAAACAATTAAATCTTTTCTATGTAATAAAAACAATATACTGGCGCTAAAAGAAAAATTATTATACAATATAAAAATTGACTTATTTCAAACAGCTGCTGTAACACCTAGATGTAATCTTTCTTACACCAACTAAAATACAAAATACAAAGAAAGGTGTAGCGCTACATACATATATTCAACTTGGCTGGGTCTAACCAGAGAATATTCGTCCCAATAAAAAGGGCCAAAGTAACATGCGGAATATACCTATAAATTGAGAAAAAAATTCAAATAGTGTTATAATTAAATCTTTTCAGCTCATTTGAAACCTGTATGTACCGTCTAAGCCTGAATCAGTTAGTTACGGTTCAATGAAAAGTATAACCAATTTACAAAGATTGGTCACTCTTTGCAGTATAAACAATATGGTATAGTGTACAGATCTACCCGTGCTTACCTATTGTGTTTGGGGTGTATGCACCTGTTATTGTGCTGGCTTTTTAGCAGAATGTTATTCCTGCTGGCTCCATGTCAATGAATGCATCTAAGGCGTCGGGGCCTCCAATATGTGTTGTGCGATGTGGGAGGCTGACTCCGCTTATTGCGGTTCCAGAGGATATTTCTCCCTGTGACCTCTATCTGTGTAGACCCTGTTTTCCATTGGAGTGCTGCACATCTTTCATACTCCACATTCATGGAGATTAAGTCGATCAAATCCCCTGAAGAGGGTATTGTAGATGACCTACGATTTCTCGCTAACAGCGTTGCCGGCGCTACCAGTATAAGAAGTATGTATAATAGTTGCAGAAATCTGCATACCTATGCTTACTTTTAACATTTCCTCTACCTTTGCCGAATATATTGTTAGCCTTGGGCATGTCCACCAGATGTGTAAGGTGTTACCTGGGATTTCTTGGCATCTCCAACATTTATTGTCTGGTGTATGGTACATTCTGGCTATTTTGTCTGGTGTCAAGTACCACCAATAAAATATTTTCCTTGAGATCTCAAAGTGTGAGGCGCAAGATGACCGGCCTTTAAACACTGCAAAGGCCTTTTTCCATGTCTGGGGTGTTAACTCTTTCCCTATATCCTTGTGCCATTCTTTTTGATAGGGCCAAACTGGGTCTTGGGGTTCCTCTATAAGTGTGGTGTAGCAGAATGAGAGTATTTTCTTCTGCTTTTGTACGTTTAGGCACATGTGTTCAAACTGGGTCATTTGTGTGGGTTTGCCCTCCCACCCCCCGTGGGTTTTCTCAATCCTAAGTGTATGGTGTAGTTGTGTATATGAGAATTGGGTGGCGTGTGGCCGTTGGTATTGATACCTCAAGTCTTGGAAGATTCTAATGACACCCTGTTGGCTCACATGGTGTACATGAGTCACTCTATGTTTTGCCCAAAGTCTAAAGTTAAATGTGGGGTTAAGTAAGAATATGGTTTTCAGTGGAGTCGCTAGGGACCATTTGGTAGGCAGACTCTGTGTCTATTTGTATCCCAAATGGAAATCAACAGTTTGGTGGCAGGCAGCATTTGGCGTGGGGAGGGTCTTAATGCTTTGGGTATCCAGAGAAATTGTGATAGGCATGCTCCATCTAAGCCTTGTGATTCCAGGTCCACCCACTGAGGGGTGTAGGCCCGGGAGTGACATGTGATGATGTTGGCCGTTTGCGTGGCTCTGTACTATTCCCTCACGTTGGGGAATCCCAGCTCCCCTTCCTGTAGTTTGCGAGATAAAAGCCTCCAGGGCACTCTCGGTTTTTAGTTTTGCCATCTAAACCACACCAGTGTTGTCTGGATGGACTTAAGAAACTTTAAAGGGACAGATATTTGTAGCATGCAAAATAGGTACAGGATTTTAGGTAGTATTACCATTTTGATTGCTGCACATCTACCCATCCACGATATGTATTTCCCTTCCCATATCTTAACTGTGTTGTCGATCTATGTGTGCAGTTTTTGATAGTTCATCTTAAACAAGAAATTTGGCCTAAAAAAGTGAGGTAATCCTGTCGCCAGTCGAAATGAAATGCCTTTTTAAGTATCCCTATCTCATTGCTGCTTCTAAGTGTGAAATATTCTGGAGAAAATTTTAAGGTAAACTGAGGTATTTAGGAGGACAAAAAAAAAAAAAATTAGATTTGTTTGATTTAAATTATTCACCTCACCTTATTAGTGACCGTGGGTATGTGAGGAAATGCCTTTTAACCAACCAAGTATCTGAATACTGGAGGAGTCTTATACTAATCTTGACACAGAAGATAGCGTAACTGCTACACTGCTTCCAAAAGCTCTCCTTAAATGTAAGCTTTCTTGTAGCGACGTAAAACCATGTAAGATTCAAATTTGTTTTGTGTTTTTTGTGTAGTGTGCATTGTTCCCATTTTAAAGGGATACTAAAGGCATCAAAACAACTGTAGCTTAATAAAGCTGTGTATAGCTCATGCCCCTGCAGTCTCACTGCCATTTAGGCATTCAATAATTTTTGTTTCTGTTTATACAGTCCTAGCCACACCTCCTCTTCCTGTGACTCACACAACCTGCACGAAAAAATATTGTCAATCAGATGTTAATTTAACCCCTTAAGGACGGCAGGTGTTCTATGCCGTCCTTAAATGGGTGGATCTAAACGCCGAAGGGCTGCATAGAACGTCCCATCCGGCGGTGGCGATCCTGAGGACTAACTGGGAGCTCAGGCATTCTCCCTCGATCCGATATGGCCCTCCTCGGCCATGTGATCAAAGGTTCTCGTGATCACATGGCCGGAATAGCCGGCTTCTGCAGTGGCTGAAGGGGGACTGCCTGAGCAAGTTAAAAAAAGTTATTTAACACTATTTAACTTAAATAAAAAGTACTTAGATCATATATACAGAAGACACCAACCCTTGCAGTTTACTTTAGGAGTGTCATATAAATCACTGTTAAATGTTAAACATAAGAATCCATTCTGATTTTGTAATGTATTGCTGCCTGTACTTCAAACAAAGAAAAACTAAATAAGCTCCTTATTAAATGCCTTTAACTCAAGGTAACAGGCAGCCAGTAAGAAACAGAATCATATGTGATAACTGTGGAAACCAACTAGATGTCCATGACTGTGGCTCCAATTTTATCACTTTTCAGAAATGTTCCTTATACGTAACCCCCATGAGTACACATTGCAGGTATCAATGTAGCATGAGACAATCTAATTTTATCCTATGCTAGATTAGTCCTTTCTCTCACAGTTCATCCCCACTTACCACACTGAGCACACATAGGTAACTTTTGCACAGAACTGCAAAAATAACAAAATGCTCTGTTCTTCTGCCGTCTTCATTTCATACATAAAAAAAGAGGAAAAGGAAAATAAAAATAAAAATTATTTGGCAGTGAAAGTTATTGACGAGCACTGTAAATCGCAACTGAATAATGAAAGTATTGAACTTACCTTTGACATTTGTCACACTCCTGTAAAAAAAGAAAAAAAAAAAAATTATGAGAATACAACTTGCATTTACATAAAACAAATCCCAGCCATGCTTTCTTACCCTGTACTTTATGTGATCGGTCCCACAGAGTAAATTATCACTTTGCAGTGTATATGTTTACATAAGAACTATAGGCCCATGCCAATCAAAGAAACAATAAAATGAAAGCAGTCATTGGTAAATTATCCCTGGAAAAACTGCTACAATAAAATAATTAGCATTTCACACCGCGCTATAACAAATACTCAAAGGACATGTATGACATTATGAGTGGCAGGAGAGAAGAAGCTAGAAAGATGTCACAGCTGCTACCACATTTATTAAATTTAGTTTGTTCCTACCCGTCTCAGTTGCACAAAGTAAAAGAAAGCAAAGCTTTAGGTAGAATAAATTCATTGTGTCAGCTGACACTCTAATCCAGGGGTGCTCAACCTTTTGGCAGTCAAGTATAACTTTAAAAAACTTTGTACATGTCATGGGCCACACAATAGAAAACTCTCGTACACTAAAACAGCAATGCAAGGAATGAAAAATTGTTTAATGAGATCACTGACTCTGCTTATTTGTTTTAACTAATAAATCAATGCTAGGAAATACTTCTGTGGTAGCAAATCAGAAATTGTCCTCAATTTTGACTTCGAGTGCTTCATTCAGTTCACATAAAAATGTTTTTTGAAGAGGGAGAAGACTCTTGCTGCATGCATGCTTAAATTGCCAAGTCTTCAATTTTCTACATACTAGACACGTCATTATATTTTACTTAAAAGTCTGATTCACATTGAAGGTCAATGATTTTAATCTGAAGGTCCCCTTGAGTCCCCATTACAATCATTTATAAAAATGTACTTTATCTGTTCCTTTGACGTATTTTAATTTTCTAAAAAAATTAGTGGCACTGGTGTTGCCAAGTAGCAGTCACTTGTACCTTTGAAACAATATACAGATTAGGGTCTCCACTGGGTCCCCATTCATGAAGTGTCCAGTTTTTGGGGAATCAGAATTTCTTAAAATAATAAGTAAATTCCTTACCAATAGACTCTGGTGTTAGTTACCACATGAAAGGTCCTTTCTTATGCACATAAATCTTGGAGATATACATTATATATATATATATATATATATATATACACATATATATACACACACACATACATACACACACGGGAGAAATTAACAATTAGATACCAGATCAGACAATTGGAGGAACTTGTTTTCCTGGCACTATAGTGCCCTGAGGGTGCCCCCACCCGCTCGGCTGAAGGGGGAGGAAGGGGGTTAAACACTCATCTTTCTCCAGCACCGGGCTCCCTCGGCACTGGGGACTCTCCTCCTCCTTCCGATGTCATCAGCCGAATGCGCACACGCGGCTCATTCAGCCAGTCCATAGGAAAGCATTCTTAATATGGGCTGGATTAACCTCATTGAGCTGAAGTAGTCTGGGTGCCTATAGTGGTACTTTAAAGCCGATAATCTGAATATTTACCATAATCGGTATAGGTCTTGTAATTTACAGATATTAAAGAAAGATTACTCTCCCAGTCTCCATATACCATCTTCTGTATACAGATACTCCACTGACCAAGCATGAACTGACTGCCTGAGAGTGATAGGAATGTGACTGTGGTCAGTATGTTCAGTAAATGCCAGATCTGTGAAGAAATTGTGTTTCCATTATAAAAAAATTAAATAAACAGAATATTGGCACCGGATATCGTTAATCGGCCTGAACGGTGACAGATAATCTGTATCGGCATCAGCTATGGAGAAATTATCACTAGCTTACCATTCACTTTATGTAAACAGGGACTATTTGTTAAATTCTGTTGCTTAGCCTAAGCCCAAGTTATAAATCATACAAATTTATATTCCAAACTAGACCCAAATGCTACACATTATTTTGCGGGAAGGGGTCGACTTAGCAAATATAGGCCTAAACATATAGAGCACCTCTTATTTTTGGAGTGTTGATTTATATGCTGGCATACACTGATCATCCACACAACACCTGCCAAATACCATGTCGTTCTCCTTCATACTGCCAAAACAGCTCTGATGCGTTGAGGCATAGACTCCAAAATAGGGATCGACTGATATGGATTTTTTTTTTTTTTTAGAGCTGATACCGATAACCTGTGAACTTTCAGGCCGATAACTTACCGATACTCTGTATATTTACCATTTTGAAAAAGGAAACAATTTCTACACAAATCTTCTGTTAACTGAACAGGTTTAATAATTTTTTTTTTTTTTTTTTTAAAGTGGTAAAAGCACAAAATAAACATGCCAGTCAGATTTTTTCATGTTTTCAAGAATATTTAAAAACCAAAGAAAAAAAGTTACCGGTGCCCTCTCCTAAATCCCTATGTATATTTAAACAAATGGAGGTTATTTAGTTACTCCAATGGCCATTGGAGGGAATATATATGGGTGTATATATAAAACATACCCCTCTCTGTCTCATTAGAGATAACACGTGCCATTGTAATGATTTAATCAATATTATTCACTTCACCTGTGAAGAAACTATTTGCCTCATTCAAGTGTCAATCTTCAGAAAAAAATTGGAATTGGGTAGAATTTCACCACATCCTGCTATTTTTCATCAATCATCACAAGCGCCAACTCATGGATACAGGCATTATTTGACGCAATGCACAATATATGCCTATGGCACATCATTGCGGCAGCATAAGGTTATCTATTAAAGTTCATGCAGTCTTGAGTGATATCCCATAGGCCTAATTTTGTACTCTTGCACATAGGAGATGATGCATGGCAGCAGGAAAATAATGGCACCAAGGATCGAGAGCACAAGAAATATCCCCAACTAACCCTCCCCAGCCTACACCATACACCTTGGTGAGAGATTTGCAAAAGAATGCAAAGACTCCACAGCTGACACTGCTGCTTTAAAGGGGCACTAACAACAATACTACAGCCCGTCATACTGGTTATGGTGCCAGGAATCCCCAGCCGCTATCCCTCAGTAAGGAGTCAAATCATTTGTGAATTATTTGACATTTACCTGATCCAAGCCCACAGTCCTTCTGGTCTCCTTGATACAGTTAAAATGGAAGTACTTATTTTGCTTTGGCTATATCAATTTTGTGCAACTTTTCAAAACATTCTGATGTCCTAAGTCAAACATATTATGAAAAGTTGCACACAACTGACTTATATAAAGTGGAATGAGAACTTCTACTTGAGCTGTACCGAGGAGACTGTAAGGACCACCTGCATTCCGGGAACCCAGGTAAGTGTCACACAGTTACCAAATATTGTAGTGGTTTATGGTGCTTAGAGTTCCCCTTTAAGCAGTAGCGGGAAAGAGAAAATTAAGCGCAAGTGTTTCTGTCCATGAATAAATGTATATAAACATAATCCAAGTGTACTGCCTGTGTATGAAAAAATAGCTACATATGTATAAATGTGTTTGCAAGTATGTTTCAAATAAGAGAATATATGGCTAGTTTGGTAGCAGAGTATGATAAAAAATGCACATATTTGTTTAAGAAAGACACCAATAAGGTTAATTTGAAAGTAGTGCTTATTAAGTGCCAGATCAATTAAAGGCACACTATAGGGTCAGGAACACAAACATGTATTCCATACTCTGTAGTGTTAAAAACACCATTCAGTCGCCTCTGCCCCGCCTAATTATAGCAGAATCTTACCTTTATTCCAGTACGCTGCTGCTGGCTCTGTCTGCTTGGCTGACATCATCAGAAGTGTTGATGTGAGTCAATCACAATGCTTTCCCATGGGATTGGCTGAGCTTGTAAAGGAGGCAGAGCCAGCCAAACACAGTCTTAGTCAATTAGAAGCTCATCAAAGAGATGCATTGAATCAATGTGTCTTTATGAGGAAAGTTCAGTGTCTCCATGTAGAAGGTGGAGACACTGAATGTAAGTGCCGCACACTGTGCAGCACTGCCCCAGAAAGCACCTATAGTAGCCTATGCTGTAATGTAAACACTACCTTTTCTCTGAAGAAAAAAAATAAAAAAAATAACAGTGTTTACTGCAAAAAGCCTGAAGGACTGATTATACTCACCAGAACAAATACAATAAGCTTAAAAGTATAGTATTATCCAATTTATAAGTGTCTACAGTTCAGTTGAGACTACTTCTAATTAATATTGTGCATTTATAATTGATGACAGATAGTATGATTTATGCATTCATCCAGTTTTATACTCGGATATTACCATATTTATCCTCTCTCTTCCAGCTTGATTTGACATTGCACCTTTACTGGCATACTCTTCTTGTTGGTGTTCCCCTGTCCTGTGACACATTTGTTTTCGTTCGGGATTACAAGAAAGAGGAAGTAGATTACGCATCAGTGGCGTACATACCGGGGTCGGTATGTACCCACTGTGGCCAGCCTCTTCACCTGAGCTGGCCACCTCAGGGCCCCCCCGAGGCTGGCCCTGGTGTCACCCGGCAGGCAGGCTGGCGGGTGCGCGAGGGAGCACTCTCCCCTGTGTGCTCCTTCTTCAGCTCCATCGTGCACCGCACTGATACCGTAGCCGGAAGATGACGTCATCAGTATGCAGCGCGCGAGGGAGCTGAAAAGGAAGCACTGAGGGGAGAGTGCTCCCTCGCGTGCCCGCCAGCCTGCCCACCGGGTGACATCACTAGACCCCAGGGAATCCCCCCAGCTCTCCACAGGTAAGGAGGCTGAGGGGATTAAATAAAAAAAAATAAAAAAAAGTATGTCTGTGTGTGTGTGTTTCAGTTACTGAGTGTGTTAGTTTGTGTGCGTTTTCTAAGTGAGTGAGTGTATGTCAGTCACTGAATGTGTATGTATGTCAGTCACTGAGAGTGTGTGTGTGTGTGTCTGTTAGCTAGTGCGTATGCGTCTGTTCATGAGTGTGTGTCTTAAGCACTTACCTTTCTCCAGCGCCGGACTCCCTTGGCGCTGGGGATCTCTCCGCCCCGATCCGCCTCTCTGCTCCGAATGCGCATACGTGGCAAGAGCCGCGCGCATTGAAACCGTCCATAGGAAAGCATTACTCAATGCTTTCCTATGGACGTTCAGCGTCTTCTCACTGTGATTTTCACAGTGAGAATCGCAGAAGCTCCTCTAGCGGCTGTCAATGAGACAGCCACTAGAGGCTGGATTAACCCTCAGTGAAACATAGCAATAACATCACGTTAATAGTAAAATCTGTGAATTTTAGGCAACCTTACCTAGAGTTAAATTATCTTTAAAAAAAGCAAGTATCTTATGCACGACAAAAACATTTGTTTTCAGCTGCTGGGTTAAAACAAGAGGGACCTGGCACCCAGACCACTTCATTGAGCTGATGTGATCTGGGTGTCTGTAGTGGTCCTTTAAGTGTATATGTATCTGCATGCACTGGCGTACATACCGTGGTTGCAGCCCTGCGACCAGGTGCCCGCCGCCATGTGTTGCGGCCCCAGCCCGCGCAGAGTAAGCGCGCGGGGGAGGGCCCACAGATCAGTTTTCGCACCGGGGCCCCATGGGTTGTGTGTACGCCACAGGTACGCATCATCACCTATTATGCTGGAGAGCGAAAGCTGATTGGCTGTTCCTGTCGCTAGGAAGATATACCTCTCATGCTATTTATTATCATACCGTTTGAATGTTAGATTTTTTCTTTGCTGCTGAGGGAAATAAAGAAAGAGTGCAGCATAATACTCGCCTCTGTGTCATTAATAAAAATCATTACTTAACATCACGTTAATAGTAAAATCTGTGAATTTTAGGCAACCTTACCTAGAGTTAAATTATCTTTAAAAAAAGCAAGTATCTTATGCATGACAAAAACATTTGGCTAGGAACCTGAACAGTCTCTTTCTTTAGGAAATATAAATGTAACACCTCTTCTTGTTTAGTGTCCCTATAGTATATGATTTAGTGCTTATAAAGAACTATCCACAACATCCACAGTCATTCAGTTTTTGGTAAAGGCATCACATATTGCATTTGGCTGTATCTTCATTGAAGATTATCTGTGAGATTGTTTATCTGAGTTTGCATGTATCAGATCAAACAATACACTAATTTCTTCAGTAATTAAAAAAGTGTACATTAGGATTAATGGAGAGGACATGAAGTGAACCCCTTTATAGTTGGAACACTGCTGTGTTCAATGTTATGTCTATAGGTAAAGATCACCTCATATTTAAACCAAATTCAGCAATAAAATGTAGTGTACTTCTATTGTTATTTTTAGCAAGCAGACAAATATTACATTTTACCAAATAAAATAGGTCAGCATATGGGGAAGCCAGGTTTTACCAAAGCAACTCCAAATTTAGGTTACAAACAGTCCAAACATTGGGAATAGTCTAAGGCAGGAGTAGGCAACCTTCAGCATTCCAAATGTTATGGATTACATCTCCAATACTGCTCCAACAGCCGTAATGCTGGCAAAACATCAGTGGAGATGTAGTTCACAACATCTAAAGTGCTGAAGATTGCATTGCTGAATTGGACATTTTACAACTCTGAGAAGTAATAAAAATGGATGCAGTTACCATGGAAGCATTACAGGGATGTTTAGCCAGATCCACATTTCCCCGATTGGCTCTTATCTGTTTCTCCCTTTCCCTGCGATTCTCTGCCTTCTTTCGCGCTCCAGTCTTCTTTTTGGGCATCTTGCCGTCACTAGAAAAGTGAAAGAGACTGTAACTAAATTGTAATAGTTGTTAAAACAGCCATCTAAGCATCAAAATGCTCAGTACTGATAATGCCATCATGTCCCTGGAACCGATCCCTAGTCCTGTGTCAAAAGATGTTTTGGAGTAGTTGGCCACAAACTGAGAATTCCATGGCTGCCAAAGTCCTGGCCCGTTTCCATATTGTAATGCAGAAAATGAAGGAGGTAGTGCCCAAGTTTATGTCAAATAATTCATAAAAGGTCCAACATTAAACCAGCGTACACAACATAACCCACATTCCAGGTAAAACAAATACTATAGGAGTTAGTTATTTTGCTTATTGTGTCACCTAATCAAGGCAGGTTTAGTTTGCCTTCTCTTTATTAATTTACTTTATTTTGGCATCCTATGAATAATGCATACACGGGAGGGTTTTTACATTATCAGTCAACAGGAAAAAGCGATACCTGTCGAGTAAAATATAAAATAATTAGTAAACAAGTGTAGTGTAAGAACATGTCAGAGTTAGACTGACAATCCCCTGTGTCTGTGTGTCAGGGAGCAGCAGTGGGAGCTGTGTAAAGTGACTTTCCAAGACCTGCTGCCAGACTCCAACATGGCCGATCAGGATTCACTCAGCGGCCGTATCCAGTGAGCACCAGGCCGCACAGACCCTGTACAGACCGTGTGCAGATCGCTGTCCCATGGACTGCTCTCTAGTCACACGGCGCTCCCCACACATGGGTTACACACAGCTTGGCGTGTGAGATTTTACAAGCGCGGCTTTGTTGGGGGATATTAGGATGCGTTGCCTGAGGGAGGTATAGTGTGAGTATAGCAGTATGCTATCCATGCCCCGCCATGCTCACCGTACCGGGCACTCACCGAGCGAGCCGACACTAACAGCACACCTCTACCGCTCTGCACGGCTTCCTCCTCTGGGAGATAGCGTCCGTGACGTGACAGGAAGCAGTAGCCAATAAGCAGCCGCCTTTCATTCCGCCTGACACTCACAAAAAGAGTCGAGTTCGATAGTACCTAGCTTCTGGGTGCTCCCTGCGAAAATCAAAGGAATCTAACGTGTGAAAGTGTGAAAAAGTACATTTATGAATATTAAACTCAAAAACATGCACAGCTTACTTCCTGCCACGTTATTCTATCAGGGTTATTCATTACACTCCATAGTGTAGGGAGCTTAAAGGACCACTATAGGCACCCAGACCACTTCAGCTTAATGAAGTGGTCTGGCTGCCAGGTCCAGCTAGGGTTAACCCATTTTTCTATAAACATAGCAGTTTCAGAGAAACTGCTATGTTTACAAATGGGTTAATCCAGCCTCTACTGGGTGTCTCATTGACAGTCCCTAGAGGCGATTTTCACAGTGAGAAGACGCTAGAGTCCATAGGAAAGCATTGTTAATGCTTTCCTATGAGACTGGCTGAATGAGCGTGCGGCATGCGCATTAAGCCGGGGAGGAGGAGAGTCCCCCGCCCGGCGCTGGAGAAAGAGGTAAGTTTAACCCCTTCCTCTCCATCCAGCCCGGCAGGAGGGGAACCCTGAGGGTGGGGGCACCCTCAGGGCACTATAGTGCCAGGAAAACGAGTATGTTTTCCTGGCACTATAGTGGTCCTTTAATTCCCAGTGGCAACATTTAGGCTAAAATAGACACTACATATACTACAAATGAGTTAGTGTATCCTTACAAAGGTACATCTTTAATCTAAATGTTGTCATTCAGATTTTCAAGCTGCTACCTAAACGTCTGTGGGGGGTCTTTGATTATTTTGCATGGTAGATTGTAGGTTGGCCCAGAGTGCAGCTATCGCGAGTTGTATTTACCTGATGCTTTACTCCAATGGGTGCCGCCACCTTCTTTCTTTAGCTTTTGGTGCTAAACAAGTCAGAAGCCCATGCCAGTGCTGTATTCTTGCATATGCACAAAAGTACAACACTGATATCTACAGAGCATCCCTCAAGAGTCTTCGTAGATATTATCTTGCAACAAGTAAGATCATGCCTTATTCCCATAGTCATCGCTAGCGATGGCTGGAAGAAGTGAAAAAACACTTGACGGCAGTAACATTGTGTCAAGATTCATCAAGCGGAGGATTTTACCATAAGACAAAGTAAATACAAATGTTTACCTATAAAGCACTGAACAACTCTAGCCCCTGTATTATCTATTAAAGGGACACAATAGGCACCAGAACAACTACAGCTTATTGAATTTGTTCTGGAGAGTAGAATCATTACCTTCAGGCTTTTTGCTGTAAACACTGTCTTTTCAGAGAAAATGCAGTGTTTACATTACAGCCTAGTGATAACTTCACTGGCCACTCATTAGATGGCTTTTAGAGATCCTTCCTGGGTCATGGCTGCCTAAAATGCATCCAAACATTCAGTATCTCCTCCCTCTGCATGCAGACACTGAACTTTCCTCAGAGATTTATTGATTCAATTCATCTCTATGAGGAGATGCTGATTGGCCAGGGCTGTGTTTGAATCGTGCTGGCTCTGCCCCTGATCTGCCTCTTTGTCAGTCTCAGCCAATCCTATGGGGAAGCATTGTGATTGGATCAGGCCACCACTTCTAATGATGTCAGCAGGCAGTGGGCAGGTCAAAAGGAAACAGAGCCAGAGCTAGCAGCTCCAGACTTGAATACAAGTAAGATTTCTATATTTAGGGAGGCATGATGGGACCAGAGTGGCTAGATGGTGGTTTTAACCCTATAGAGTCAGGAATACATGTTTGTGTTCCTGACCCTATAGTGCTCCTTTAACTGATTAATAGGTATGCCCCTTCTCTGTCTCCTTTCCTCTGCTCGCACCCATGCTGCTAACTCGCTCTTGCAGGAATTTTCACCCGTGGCTCCTTTCTTTTGGAACAGCATGCCTTTCACCATCAGACTCTCCCGTAGTTTTCAATCGTTTAAGAAGTGCCTCAAAACCCATCACTTCAGGAAAGCTTATGGCTTCCCAGAGTAACCTCTACCTCACATACTGGTATCTTGCTTTTTCCAGCTCTGCTTCACTCCCACCTTGTTTGATTGTTATCCCCTGTCCTATTGTGTTCTTTGTGTTCTATATCCCACCTCTTCTAGACTGTAAGCTAGACCGGAACAGAGTACTCATCAACCTACTGTTCCTGTAATATTTTGTAATTGTCTCATTTATTATTAAATTTCCCCCTCTTATAATATTGTAACGTGCTGCGGAATATGTTGGTGCTATATAAATGGCAATAATAATAATAATAATATTAACGTGAAGAAAAGACAATAGCAGGAACTGTATAAACAAATGTCATATAATTTTTGCAGACTAAATCAGAAAGGCAAAAATGCTGATCTGGACAAATGCTCCAACTTAGCCACGGTCACAATTTAGCTATTTTTGCCTCAGTTTTGTTAGTGAGAATTAATGCACAAATATTTAAGTTGACAGCCTGCATTTTATTCTCTTTAGTAATTGTTACCTTTCAATTCTAGTGTGCTGAAATACAGAGCCAAAATTATAAATGTTGTGTCACTGTTCAAACGTATGGAATGCAAGTGTAACTGTTATCATTGGTTGATAAAAATTAAATTGAGCAATTATCTACTGCTCCCTGTACGGTTATTAACATTTTAACAAACTGGTACAGAGCCTCTAGGTGGTGCCCAACTCTCAAATGTTTAAACGTCTGTTATCTTCTTTTACATGCAGGGTTGTTTCAAAAGTGTGAATTGCCAGAAGGTCTGTCAGGATTATAAAAAAGATTTGAAAAACAAAAAATCTAATACAGCTATGTTTCCAATTTGGATAATATTGCCTAAATCATGAGATTCACTTTGAATGCCTAACAATTCGCCTTTATCGAATAACCTAGTCTAATTTGCTAATAAATCTCTAAAGTATTCAAAGGAAAACAGTTGGAGAAAATGACCCCCATTCTTTATGCATTTTATTTTTTAATGCATTATATAAATAATAATACAGTAATAATGTATAAAAAAAAATAAGATATAAAATACCATGTGCATACTATTAATATTACAGTAAAAGAAAAAAAAGATAAAATATCCACTAGTGTGAAGAAACTACTCCTTGTATACAGTAATTTAGTTTTTTTTCTTCGTTCGGTAGATAAAACTACCGAACACCGACCACCCCCCTGGCTCAATAACTTCAAAGAAGACGGCAAATTAAGGGCTCTCTCTGTGTGGCTGTCATTCGTATAGCTGAATGCCACGTGTGTGATAAAACGGTGGCCATCTTGGTCACACAGAAGGTGACAGCGGGACTTGGTCGTTGAGTGTCTGAAATTAAAATCGGACACTCGACTTCCCGAATGCCGGTCAACTTCACGAATGCCTGCTTCTTTTCACCGACCAGCCAGGAGAGAGCTATTCGGTAGGTTTGTTCCCACAAACTAAGGGAACAAACGCTACCTATGAGCCAGGGGATCCGTTCGTGGATTTGTTCAGTTTTTAGAAAGAGACCGACCGCACTGCTTAATTTCATGGAACTCTTTCTGGGTCGGAGCCTCGTGTGCAGTTGGCCAAATTAAGACTTTCATGGATCTCCCGAACCCCTGAACAGATCTGGGTGATGTTCGAATATGTTGGTCCTCCAGATCAAGGCTATCAGGGAATATGACTTTTGTGGGGTTTCCATGGGGTTGGGGGTACTTTCTGTGTTTTGTGGAAAAATTTGTTTTGTTTGGTTTGGAGATAATTGAGTTTAGTATAGTGCTTGACTCAATTATCTCCCAGGGGAAGGACTATATTATTTTTTTGAAGGAGTGAGAGCCAGTGTAACTGCAGAATGTATTTTGTCATTGTCCCCTCTGAGGTCCAGTGTGGAATGTCCCTGGAATATGTCAGCGTAAACCCTGTATATTTGTAACGGCATGTAAACCAGCAAGTTGGCCTGAATAAAATCACTCCTGTTATACCCTTCAGCTAGTGTAGGCTGATGTTTGGGTATCTGTCTGATTTGCTTGGTGAATATACTAGGATGCTGTATTTTGTCTGGAGAACGTTCGAATCAACACCCGAACTGCAAGCTATAATCACTAAGCCTCTAGCAGTTCGGGAAGAAACAGACGAACGGGTATCTGAAATACCAGCGCTCGTTACAACTGGTGGTTGAAGTGGGATTCCTATCACGAATGGATATCCCAAAGCAAAGGAAAAGTGAATGGTTCATCAATATGAACTACTGAAACGAATGACATTAAAGGACTTACTGGAAGCTCGAGGCACAGTGGCAAGTGATAATACAAAAGCCACGTTAATTGCTGAACTGGTACAGAGCCAGTAACATGGAAATGGAGCACCAGGAGGAAACAGAATTCCAAAAAGATGTGAGATGGATGCTCAGTATGTTATGGTGCAAACTGGGGAGACGCAGAATGCTCGTGAGCCAAGCGCAGGATCACTGCAAGGGGATTTGCTAGCACCCCCAGGATGTACAAAAGGGCAACTACGGAAGGTAAACTATGCCGCTTTCAAAGCATTCGCTGATGGTGAAATGGATAGCGACAGCTATTTGCAGGACTTTGAGCGTCAGTCTGCTTTGGAGGGGCTAGAAAAGAGTAATTGGGCTGTGGTTCTCAGCAGCAAACTCGCAGCCGAGGCTTATAGAGCAGTACGTGATGAGGAAATATAAAGCTATGAAAAGGTGAAGAAGACATTGTTGGCCAGATATGTGGTCATACCAGAGGCGTAGCGGAGAAAATTTCGGGGCCTCAGAAAAGGTGGAAGAGACTCCTATGCTGAGTGGGCATTCTGCCTGCACCGCACTGCACGAAATTGGATGCAGGGCTGCTGAGCAACTTCACTGGAGGATGCATTACAGTTATTAATACTGGTGCAGTTCTTTGATCACACTCCAACTGAGATCAGAGACTGGGTGAGGGACTGTAAACCAAAGACAGTGGAGGAAGCAGCTAAATTAGCGGATGAGTACCAGGACAGCAGGCAACTAGAACCCAGTGGAGGGTGACCCACTTTCACACCTCATACCAGGTACAGTCCGC